ACATAAAACCTTTTTTGCAACCTAAACATGGCAGTGAACCGAGTGAAGTGAATACTTAACTGATCTGGGCGGAGAGTGATTCATTCCAGAATCTTTCCATAAAAAAAAAGGTGCTTGTGCAGCGCCTGATTGTTATCCTGAACAAGCTGATCAGAGGTATTTCGGATGATTGAGGGGCTTCAGGACTGTTTGACAGACAAATATTGCTGTGATAAGTGGGCAAACAGAGCGTTTGCGCAGAGTATTATAGAAATAGGGATCCTATGGCTTGGAGTCTAATACCCTGGCCCAACTTGGTTGCAGCAGACCCTCGGAGAGACTTGTCTACTGTTTCAGGAAGGGTGTCCTTTCCTTAAAATTTTCAGAGACGCTTTCAATTCTGTGTCAAATAGATGTGCACGATGGTGCATCTATTTGCTTGTTATTAAATTCATCGTCACAGACTACATGATGTCCGGGCATACATCAGAGCAAGTAGTTTGGTATCTTAAAGCACTAGTACCTTTGGCGCGTGGGAAAATAGGGAAAAGTGGACGTTTTCCCAAACTCCTATAGTTTCGGAGCCGGGCCCGACGACGGCTGCCATTGATAAATCTGATAGGCGGCCGTCGTTTCGTTTCGGCCTGCGAAAAGGTTGGAGGCCCACCAGAGGCCCGCTATTTTCCCACGTGCCAAAGGTACTAGTGGTGGAGGCCATTGAGTCGTCTGAGACACATTCCTGATTTAAAAAAAAAAAAAAAAGAAAAAAAAAAAGAAAGAAAAAAGACAGTACTGTCTCCGGTATTACCTGAAGAAAAGAAAACAAAAGACAGTACGTCCGAGATTGACAGTACAGTAAAAGTGAATGGGGAGTAACATACAGTGGGCAGCAAAGTGAAACACAGTAAAAATTCAGAGAATGGGAAAAAAATGAGAGCAGTACGCACCGTTAGGTATGTAGTGGAGACCCCTAGGGGTTATATTGTTCTCAGCCCTTGGTCTGCGCGTTTGACATGATTGATTCACATCCTCTGAAACCTTCTTTTCTCCCTGATGATTGTCGAGTGGCAGCCATTAGTTTTGATTCCCCCATGCCGTTCTATCTTTTTTGCTGGTTTGAGGGTGTCCTTTTTTTTTTTTTTTTTGAGATGGAAATGAGAGGGAAAGAAGAAAGGGCCCCTCCCCTCGTTTGCAACGGAATCATCAATGCAATACTCTTAATTGTTGGTGATCCCTTTTGTTGTGTGCTGTGTACCTTGTTTGGGGGTTTGTAACTGCAGGTGACGTCACCTGTGCAGTGGGAAACGACATTGAAGACACTGCTGGAAAGAGGAATGGCACAGAGTTATGAGCTTGGGCCGGGCAAGGTATCGTGGTCTATCCCTATGATCCTCTCTGTTGCAGGAACGCCGTGCTATTGACCCAATTACAGCCCTGTGTAGATAGCGGTGTGAGTGAAAACCTTTGAAGTTTGTTCCTATATCAGCATAGCCGATGCTACACACGAAATCCACTCTGCTGTGGCCCCAGTGTTATAGGTATGGTGGTTCATGGGTTCGTGGACTGCTTGAGGGTGGCTGTTGATCCAAGTGCAGGTAGCGAAAGGATTTCACGCATCTCAGCGTCCTAGTCCTGAAGTCCCTTGGTAGTCTCGAATTCCCAAGGTCCCATCTAGTCCCATCTGGTAGGCCCGTTCATGTTCACAGAAGTCCGGCAGGTCGTTAGGTTGGTAGCCATAGGAAATCCGGTAGGCCCAGTCACTCTGTAGGTTCCTTAGGCCTGCCAGTATAGTCCTGGTCAGCAGCTGAGTCCCAGGGCAGTGTTCTAACTTCAGAATGTGTCTAAGACAGCCCCACCCAGCAAAGTGGGTACTCAACAGTGCCTGTGCTATAGCTGTAGAGTTTCAGTGAGTGAGATGTGTGAGAGAGAGAGCGGTGAGGGAGACATTCAGAGGAGATAAGACAAGCTTGGAGAGAGAGAGAGAGAGAGAGAGAGAGAGAGAGAGAGAGAGAGAGAGACAGACAGACAGACAGACAGACAGACAGACAGACAGACAGACAGACAGACAGACAGACAGA